GCCAAACACGTAAGTGTGCATTATACACAGGAAAATACAGTATCTCTGAGGCAAGGGCCTGAAGGATCAGGGAGGAGGGAGGGTATGTTTTTATATTTTTCATTTTATTCTTTTCTGAAATCTTTAATTCCTTTTTAACCAAGAGCATGGAAAACTCTTATAATAAAAGTTGACTTACAAACCTCAATGCATAAAGTTAAAGAAACAAATTATTCTGAAAGCTTAGGATAATTATATGGAAACCAATTTACGTGAAGAAAAAAAAAAAGCTGAAGAACCTAGGTTTGATTAGCCTAGAAAAGAACTGAACTAAGAAGAGAAACAGGATCTGTTGTCTCATTTTCAAACAGTTGCCATGTGGTCAAAGGATTGGATTTATTTTGTATCTAGAGGGCAGAAATGCTAATTTTGCCTAAATAAAAGGAATCGTATTTGTTAAAGATAATTTTTGTCTCCAATCAGGTTCATACTAAACAGAAAAGTATTTTAGCATTCTTCATTATCCTTATACTCTTAATTGAATTACTCTTTTATGGCTTGTCATTATGAACTCGGTAAGTAAAGCTTAATGTTGGAAAACTTTAGTGACTCAAGACTGAGAATTCTGCTTTTGCAGATTCTCCTTTCCATGGAAGATGAAATGCACACAAGAGAAATATGGGATTTCTAAGCTAATGAATTGGGATAGCTGCAGTGCCATTTGGGATATGAGAGGATGACCTTTGAATGACACTCTTTTCTAGCAAATAATTCAAATGAAAAGAAAGCGCATCAGGGCAGATAATGAGCTCTCTACAAGACACATCCAGCTAGAAGGCCAATCTGGAATCTACTACTTGAAAGTCTGTTGACTTAGAAATCATTATACTTCTCTAAACATCTGTCACTCTTTCATCTAAAAACAGAGGGAAAAATCAAAGTAGATAATATTGTTTCCATTTCAACAGTCAATCGATATTATGCCTATAAAGATAAAGAGAGTTCAGTTCAATGGGGATACACTTAGACCTTAGAGTCACAAACCTAAAACTGGCTGTCACTAAGTAGCTATTTTACCTTGAACAACTCTCCTGCCATCTCTAAGAAGGTTCTTCATCTGATTGGAAGGGTACAGACAGATAACAAAGTGAAGAAAAATTGCAAATATCGTCTCATGTTGTTTTAAGCCTCACACTAAATAAAGCTCTATTATGATTCTCCTTTTGTAATGGGGACCAGGCTTAAACATTTTCTAGGTTTCACAGTTAGTAACGATAGTGCAGAGGTTTGATCCTGAATCCCTAGGCACAGCCACATGCTGCTTACCCCACCTAACAGAATTCTGGGGAAATGAAAATAGATTAGTGTCCAACTGTTCTATCTATTATAAATAGCTGTACATGTGTAAGTTATTGTTAAGACTAAGTTTTAAATTCTCTAGAGGTGCCCTGACACATTTTCTCCATTCATAATAAACATTGCTGTTAGAAGAAAGGCCTGCGAACCTGCTATCCTAACCAGGATGTCACAGTACAATTAGTTGAATGAATGAATGGGCAGATTACTGCTACTTTAGAAATGATCCATGAGTTTAATTAAATATCTTAAAGAAACGGATACACTGACACTACACACAAGGCCGCTCTTTGAGGATCTTGGAAGAAAGAACTATAATTAGACAGGACAGATATAGTTGCACTAGTAAATGAAACTTACTACCCACTAAAAGAAACCCACTCCCAGGACCCAATCCCTCATTCAACCCAAACAAACAGCATCCTCCCAAACTGCATTCTCAATTGCAAATATGCATCAAAATAGTCATAAGATACACAGTACTGCGGTAACAAAGCCACAGCATTCCCCTAAGGGGGCAGGGGAAGGTGGGAGGTGGGACCCTGCAACCTCTTCATATAGTTCTAGCTTGATCAAGTTGAAGACTCAACTCCCAGTAATAATGCTTTAGAGATAATATTCTTAATAAAAAATGATTTCCCCTTTACACCAGTTTATCAATGCAATTCATTTTTGTTCTCTAAAACCTATTGGAAAAGCTGTGATATAGTGAGGGAAAAAAGGAATTCTCAAAAATCTAGATTTACCACAGACTGCCTTGTGTTTTGAGTTACTACCCCTATTAAATGACCACCCCCTAGAGGGCAGCTCCCCACAGTGCTGACCACAGTGCCTAGCACATTACAAGCTCAGGAAATACATGCTGAATTTATTCTAGAATATGGCATACTTTAAAAACAAATTCCAATTCTTAAAAATCTCTAAGAAAGGTGAAAATACAAAAAAAGTCATACTTTTTTCATTTCCCTGAAGTGGGCTTCTCCACGGTCATTTGGAAACTGTTGGTTTCAGTTACTTGTTTACAGGCCCACTATGTTCCAGAAAAGGATTGCAGCGGCATCACGTGGAGCACATGATTTAAGATGTATTTAAGATTTAAAGGTGATCACATCTGGTCAAAAGACGGTTTGAAGTTTGATATATCACAGGTTTGGAAAAACATAAATCAAATAGCCATGTACAACATCAATACCAATGCCCTTGAAACCATCAGTCCCATTTTAGTTGTAATTTAAAATGGTCCTGAGAGAACATCTCACCAATACCTTACTTAACTTCACTAAGTTTTCAAACCAGGATAGCTGAACATCTGCTTGTAATATGTCATCCCACTTATGGGATGAGAAAAATAGAAAATGGTAGCCCAGAGAGAGCCATTACACAACTTACAGAAGCAAATATTTGTTTGCTAGTGCAGGAATTAAATTCAGTTTAGTTTCATTACTTCCCAATAACCCAACAGGAATCTTTCCTCCGGAGTCTTCAGGTGTCCAGTATTAAAATTATCAATGTAGAGCAAACCACTAAGCACTTCAATTATAAATTATCACTATGTAAACAATCCTCAGATACTGGTTCTTTGAAGAGGTAAGCAAACAGTCATAATAATACTCCTTGTCCAACATGGCTATATTAAATGACTGTTTTGCTGTGGAATTGCTAAAAGAGCGTTTTCAAGAAAGACATCCAACTTGGTAAAATGCCTTATAAGATGGTTGCAAGCCCAGATACAAAGTGTAGAGGTATTTCCATTTTCCTTCCATGTAAAGGTTTATGAAATATTAATATATTCAATGTGAAAGGATAAAGATAAACAAGATCAAAGCCAACAACAGAGGAAGCAACTTTCATTGTGAAAATCATAAAAACTGTGTAAAGGAACTCTAGATCCCAGGTAAAAACTGCTCAAGAAACAGCATTAACCCTAGTAGAGACGAGGCCGAGCTTTCCACAATTGCAAATAACACCAGCGTTACGAGAATTGGAATAAATATCGTCCACAGGCTTCAAAAACAATCAACGCACTTGCTCCTTCACCTCTCCCCCCTCATCCAGCTGAGTAGTGAGAGGAGCTGCCTCTTCCCGCCCTACTTCCCAGCCTCTCCTCGTGCCACCCCCTCCCCTCTCTGGTCCACCCCTCCTCCACTTTCCCCTCCCCTCCCCGCCCCCAGGTGGTGTATTCAGCAGCCTAACGAGATTAAGAGGCGCTCGCTACAGTCCCCGGGCCTCCGGACATATCTAACGTTTCCTACCTCCCCGGTATAGAGAAATTAGAGACGCGACACCCTGGTGGTATTAGATGCCTCCGCCTCTCTCCCGGCCTCTCCCTGGCTAGGGCTGGGGTGGGAGCCTGGAGCGAGTGAAGTGGGCCGTGTGTGAAGGGCCGCGCAGAGTTCAGCCGGACGCTCCCCGACCGCCCGTGGCGCTACCTGAGCTGTCCATGGTGCTGGCGCGGTCCTGAGCCTGCCGGGCGGGACTCCGCACCGTCGCCCCGACATTCACTCTCTGCTTGACGCCACCCCCGCCGCTCCCCGCACTAAAGTCCCCGTTACTGTCCACCAGCTGCAAAGATTCATAACCATCGTTGCTGGTCTTTTTCCGGTAGCTCCCGAGGAGGCTCATGGGCAAGCCAAGAGAAAAGGAAAAAAAAAAAATCAACCTGGGAGACGAATAGGGAGGTGGAAGGTGGAAAGGAGAAAATTTTAAAAAAGAAAAAAGGGGGGGAGAAACCCCATCAAGTGCCCGACATGGCGCAAAGAGGAGGGAAAGAGGGAGCGGCCACCGTAGAGGAGCTTTACGGGCGCGGCGAAGCCACCGCCCTGGGCAGAGCGTGGCTCTGGGCGCCAGGCGCAAGGGAGGGAGGGAAAGAAAGAGGGAGGGAGCCAGAGGGCGGGTGCGGGCGCCCTCCGTGCTGCTGCCGCCGCCGCCGAGCTGCCAGCCTTGCCGAGCTCCAGGCTCCCGGCCAGCCACGCTCTGGCTGGGGAGTGCCCGGAAGCAATCCTATAGGTGTCGCCACGTCGCCCCGCCGTGCAGCAGGACAGCTCCAAGCGCAGCTGGCCCACGGGTAGGAAAGAAAACACAGGGAGTAAGGGAAGGGAGATTCTCGGGGAGGTGGGCTGACGGCGTAAAAGGGGGCGGGGTGGGAGGGGGAGGCGGCTACTACAACCCGGGGGGAGGGTGTGTTGGCGTGTGAGGTAAAGGGGAAGGGGGGGCTGGGTGTCTCTGACTGGTGAACTTTGGGGATAAGGGGGGGTCTCTTGGTAAGATCCAGACACGCCCATTTCGTATAGCTTGGCCTGTATTTACTAGAAGATTCAGCAAGTCAAAGCCACCCCGACGGTTACCATCCTAGAGGACTGATCTGTAACTCAATTGAACAGAAAAAAACGTTATGTTTACCCAGGCTACATGTATGCTAGGAAAGAAAGAAACAGCAGGATTTTTCACATTTCCCATAATGGTTGTCCCTAAGTGAGATACCAAAGAGCTTGCTATTCTAACACTAGGAGGCAATTAGGGTCCATTCGACCTAGTGAGTATATGTGACTGTTTAGTAACTATTGGTTCAAGGAATAAATTGGGGAAATGGATGGAGAGCAAGGTTGAATCAGATGCAATTTCAGATCTGACATCATTTACCTTGGGACCTGGAGAAAGGACCAAACTCAGCTGTCTTGAAGGGATGGTTGGGAAGCAAATACAATGAGGATTTTCTTTCCATTCTCTAGTCTCTCCCCCTTTTTCTTTCATAATTTTAGGGCAAAGGAAGCAGTCACTCATCAGAGGAGAATTTATCACGAAGGTAATGAAGCTTAAGAGGCAGGCCTCCTTACTTGCAGAAGCCTCTTTCAAGGATGTGTCCATAATTTTACATTCGCTATTTGCATACTCTTAAAGAGGATCCCAATTGTAAAGATTTCAAGCCCTTATAAAAACTAGGTAGAACTCTAAGTCTCCAAATGTGATTACTAAATGTTCATTTTCACCTGAAATAATAGCACTGCAGAAGTACCCCTCATTCTCATCAATTTAGGTAGAGGCCAGGTGAAAATCTTGGTTAAAAATCATTCTTTTCTCTACTAGGATTTGGAATGACTGAGAAGCTTTTCAAAAATCATCTGACAGATGCATCACCAAAACAACAAGAAAAAAAGTGCATGTGTGTAAAATTTGCTGAAGCCAACTTTGCCTTCTTACCCTTCATGGCTCTCTCTTGCTATTATGATTTTCATCACCTAAGGACACAAAATCAAACTATAGCATCTAAGAGACTCCAGTCCAAATCATTTGGGACCCTAAGAGTTTCCTAAAAGCTCTAGCTCTACATAGGTCTACATAAAATAAATTAATTGGATTGAGAGATGCTTTCCTGTTCAAGGATCACTCAAACACCAATTCTTGTAGCAAGAGGGTAAATCAGTAAAGAGGCCAAGAGTGCTGTCTTCTAGATCCCTCCAGTCCCCTTGGAAACACTAAATTCCCTGACCAGTTGCTTTCCTAACTGCATTATCTGGTAAAGGTGTGTGTGGTCTCACCTTAATCGCACATCACAGTTAATGCTCATTTACAAGATAAAAAAAAAAAACAAACTTGAGTGGTGGCAGTTAAAATTGTAATAAAATTTTAAACAAAAATTTTATACTTTCAATTTTCCAAATCTGTCAGATTGAGATGTTTTAGTTACTTGACTGAAGTAATACTCTGTGTAGTCTAGTAAATAAATCTTTTCTAATAACATTTTAAATAATCCTTTCTACACATTTCCTTTTAATTCATTACTAACCCACTGTTAGAGTAAATACCTAGTATCTATCATGTGCCTTGACAAATTCTGGGTTTATAATCACCGGATTAAGAGAATTTAGAGAAGATAATTTTTGAAAAGTGAAAATTATTATTTTCAAAAAAACAGCACTCTCTGTTATTTTTTCTCAACTGTTTTCAGAGTTGCAGACATATTGCTGGAAGAAATTTAGAAGAAACATATGCCTTTGTATTTTGGGATAGCTATCTTACCAGTTTGCAAATTTTAAAAAAAAACACCATGAATGGGCTATAGGTACCATTTATTTTTTATCTTTGCTCTTAATTTAACATAAATAAAATCAATCAGAGTAACTATTAATAACCCTACAAAGCCAGGATATAAAGAACACAGTAGGGCAGGAAAATACAATAACTAAACTATTTTACAACAGTCTAGAAACTAGTTTGAGGCTTAAACTGGAATATACACCAATTTCAACCCTAAAATTTTCTTTACTATCCTAAAGATCAAATTCATAGAGTTCACTTGTCCTTGAAGATCTCACTTTTCTACTCTATAAAATAAAGCATAATAAAAGTACCACCATTATGTAGTTGGAAATAAGATTTAAATTAGTATTTAACACAAATAGAGTTAAGTACTTCACAAATGTTCTCTATTAATATTATTACTATTATTGGTCTATGGTTTGAGCACAGCTCTATATCCTCAGGGCTTGTCAGTCCTAGTTCTTCTCATGGAAGGTGCTCGACAAAGGTTAAGTATTACTTTTTCCAGGACTATACGAATCTATATGATTCTGAATGAGAACTTGCACTTTAGGAAGGGAGGTGGCACTGATAAAATCCAAGATGAACACGTAGAGCCAAACTCTCCTGTTTTTCCAAGATCGAGATTGCTCCCTAATTTATCTCAAGAATACCACATCACCACCTGGGGCAGAACCAAAGGATTGATTAGATGGTCTCTTTGGGGGACAGCGTTTTTCCCTTTGCCTTTTTCTTGCTGACGTCAGTCATGTTTATTAACTTGGTGATTATCCACACTGAGGAATGTTCAGGAGCCAGTCTCTATTTCTCCCCATCTCCTCCATCCCCAAAATGATCTCCTGTCACACCACTTTTACGGTAGGGTAGGAAAAAATGGATATATGCCACGACCTATCTGGGATCATGATCTGTGCCTTTTGATTTCCAGGAACTATAAAACATTGGTTAAGACTCAGGTTCTAGAACCATTATCTTCTAAGCTTGAATCCTAGTGCCTCAGACTCTTAGCTCTATGACCTTGGGCAAGTTACTTAATCTCTCTGCCTCACTTTTCTCCTTTATAAAACAAGCATAACACTAGTACCATCAGAATAAGATTGTAGTAAAAATTAAATCAGTACCTAAATATAGTAAGTACTTAACAAATGCTATCTATTATCGCTATTATTATTCTATTTTTTTATGGATAACTCATTTTTTCAAAAATTTAATTTCCTATCTATAAAATTAGGCTAAAATCTGCACTGTCCATTTAAAAGATTTGTTTTCATTATGACTGTATGATATAATAATATAAAAATATTATGTAAAATGTGAAGTAATTGTTGTGCCTTAAGCTTTTAGATAAAAATCTATGTTTTTCTGTTCATGTGTGTATCCGCCATGATAACCAAAAGAGCACCTCATGCTCATTGGAGATTGAGCAAATATCTACTGAATGAATGAATGAATACATAAATAAATATTTATTAGCATCACCTAGTCTAGTGATTTGTTTTAAATTACATGTTGTGGTACACTAGTGGACTGTAAAATAAACTTAGCAATTCATGACCACTATTTTAGTAAAAATGAAATAGGTCAGAAAACATCAGTTTTGGGCACATAGTTAAGATATTGTTTCTTAAAATACTGTTTTGGGTTTGTGTGGGTGTGGGTGTGGGTGTGCATGTGCATGTGTGTGTGTCTGCTCAGCAATGACACAAATGTATTTCTCACTATGGGTCCCATTATTAAATGTTTGCATGTCTACATATGACATAACCTCCAGTACTGAGAGGTCCTAGTATCCCAATTGTGAATGCCCTACACACTGTGACATCTGAATTCACTTGAGTAACTAGACAACAAAGAATTTTGACTAATCTGACTAACCGGACAGTAAATAAGAGGAAAGCTTCTGCTCTGTTCTCTCTGTTGCAAAACAAACTATGATCAGGTTTCTAAGATTCACTTGTTCCATTTTCTGCTTTGGCTAATATAAATCGATAAGTAGTATTGAAACTCTTTGGCAACATGCCTCAGGCACACAATTCAGACTGTATCCTTACTGAACAAGGCCTGTGGATATAATTGGCCCAAAGGCACTCAAACTGAAACCAACAGGCCATATATGGCCCCCAGATGTGTTTTGTTTGTTCTGCACTTTTTAAAAAATTTTAGCTTCGATGCCTTCACAGAAGGTCCACAGACTCCAGTATGAATGCCACAGTTCACCTCACTTCCCAATGCATGATACCTAGCCTGTCCTATGCATTCCCACTATCTTCAACCTTGCTGGCATTTGAATTTGAGTCCGTTAGTGTAGTGGCAAAGCCAGAGGAGTAACAACACCAAGACAGATGCCAAAAGCCACATCTTTAGGCCACAGTCCAGAAGAAAGAGCAACACAATAGGCTGGGAATCCTTTCCTGACTCTTTCTTATTAATCAGCAGAGTGGCCTTGATAATCATTCTCTTTCTCTTAGAAATAAAATTGAAGGTGTTAACTTACAGGATTTGCCTATCCTTTTCAAAACTTTAGTTGTCGTTTTCCTGTTTCTCCTCCAAATGATGCCCAGAGGGGAAAACCATGACCATTTAAGTGTGCCAGTAGCTAAGTCCCTGTTAATCAAGGTTTTTCTATAGAATGCATACATAAATCGTGGCAGCTGTCAAGAGTTACACATAGAGCAATACACAAGAGACAG